ACGTTAATATAACCAAATCATGTAGGGTGGGGGTGAGGGGACGTTAATATAACCAAATCACTTAGGGTGGGGGTGAGGGGACGTTAATATAACCAAATCACTTAGGGTGGGGGTGAGGGGACGTTAATATAACCAAAGCATGTAGGGTGGGGGTGAGGGGACGTTAATATAACCAAATCATGTAGGGTGGGGGTGAGGGGACGTTAATATAACCAAAGCATGTAGGGTGGGGTGAGAGTGAGGGGACGTTAATATAACCAAATCATGTAGGGTAGGGGTGAGGGGACGTTAATATAACCAAATCATGTAGGGTGGGGGTGAGGGGACGTTAATATAACCAAATCATGTAGGGTGGGGGTGAGGGGACGTTAATATAACCAAATCACTTAGGGTGGGGGTGAGGGGACGTTAATATAACCAAATCATGTAGGGTGGGGGTGAGGGGACGTTAATATAACCAAAGCATGTAGGGTGGGGGTGATGGGACGTTAATATAACCAAAGCATGTAGGGTGGGGTGAGAGTGAGGGGACGTTAATATAACCAAATCACTTAGGGTGGGGGTGAGGGGACGTTAATATAACCAAATCATGTAGGGTGGGGGTGAGGGGACGTTAATATAACCAAATCATGTAGGGTAGGGGTGAGGGGACGTTAATATAACCAAATCATGTAGGGTGGGGGTGAGGGGACGTTAATATAACCAAATCACGCAAGGTAGGGTTGGGGGTGAGGGGACGTTAATATAACCAAATCATGTAGGGTGGGGGTGAGGGGACGTTAATATAACCAAATCATGTAGGGTGGGGGTGAGGGGACGTTAATATAACCAAATCACTTAGGGTGGGGGTGAGGGGACGTTAATATAACCAAATCATGTAGGGTGGGGTTGAGGGGACGTTAATATAACCAAATCACTTAGGGTGGGGGTGAGGGGACGTTAATATAACCAAATCATGTAGGGTGGGGGTGAGGGGACGTTAATATAACCAAATCACTTAGGGTGGGGGTGAGGGGACGTTAATATAACCAAATCATGTAGGGTGGGGGTGAGGGGACGTTAATATAACAAAAGCATGTAGGGTGGGGGTGAGGGGACGTTAATATAACCAAAGCATGTAGGGTGGGGTGAGAGTGAGGGGACGTTAATATAACCAAATCATGTAGGGTGGGGGTGAGGGGACGTTAATATAACCAAATCATGTAGGGTGGGGGTGAGGGGACGTTAATATAACCAAATCATGTAGGGTGGGGTGAGAGTGAGGGGACGTTAATATAACCAAATCATGTAGGGTGGGGGTGAGGGGACGTTAATATAACCAAATCATGTAGGGTGGGGTGAGAGTTAGGGGACGTTAATATAACCAAATCATGTAGGGTGGGGGTGAGGGGACGTTAATATAACCAAATCATGTAGGGTGGGGGTGAGGGGACGTTAATATAACCAAATCACTTAGGGTGGGGGTGAGGGGACGTTAATATAACCAAAGCATGTAGGGTGGGGGTGAGGGGACGTTAATATAACCAAAGCATGTAGGGTGGGGGTGAGGGAACGGTAATATAACCAAATCATGTAGGGTGGGGTGAGAGTGAGGGGACGTTAATATAACCAAATCATGTAGGGTGGGGGTGAGGGGACGTTAATATAACCAAAGCATGTAGGGTGGGGGTGAGGGGACGTTAATATAACCAAATCATGTAGGGTGGGGTGAGGGGACGTTAATATAACCAAATCACTTAGGGTGGGGGTGAGGGGACGGTAATATAACCAAATCATGTAGGGTGGGGTGAGGGGACGTTAATATAACCAAATCACGTAGGGTGGGGGTGAGGGGACGTTAATATAACCAAAGCATGTAGGGTGGGGGTGAGGGGACGTTAATATAACCAAATCATGTAGGGTAGGGGTGAGGGGACGTTAATATAACCAAATCATGTAGGGTGGGGGTGAGGGGACGTTAATATAACCAAATCATGTAGGGTGCGGGTGAGGGGACGGTAATATAACCAAATCATGTAGGGTGGGGTGAGAGTGAGGGGACGTTAATATAACCAAATCACTTAGGGTGGGGGTGAGGGGACGTTAATATAACCAAAGCATGAAGGGTGGGGGTGAGGGGACGTTAATATAACCAAAGCATGTAGGGTGGGGGTGAGGGGACGTTAATATAACCAAATCACGTAGGGTGGGGGTGAGGGGACGTTAATATAACCAAATCACGTAGGGTGGGGTTGAGGGGACGTTAATATAACCAAAGCATGTAGGGTGGGGGTGAGGGGACGTTAATATAACCAAATCATGTAGGGTGGGGGTGAGGGGACGTTAATATAACCAAATCATGTAGGGTGGGGGTGAGGGGACGTTAATATAACCAAATCACTTAGGGTGGGGGTGAGGGGACGTTAATATAACCAAAGCATGTAGGGTGGGGTGAGAGTGAGGGGACGTTAATATAACCAAATCATGTAGGGTGGGGGTGAGGGGACGTTAATATAACCAATTCACTTAGGGTGGGGGTGAGGGGACGTTAATATAACCAAATCACTTAGGGTGGGGGTGAGGGGACGTTAATATAACCAAATCATGTAGGGTGGGGGTGAGGGGACGTTAATATAACCAAAGCATGTAGGGTGGTGTGAGAGTGAGGGGACGTTAATATAACCAAATCACTTAGGGTGGGGGTGAGGGGACGTTAATATAACCAAATCATGTAGGGTGGGGGTGAGGGGACGTTAATATAACCAAATCATGTAGGGTGGGGGTGAGGGGACGTTAATATAACCAAATCACGCAAGGTAGGGTTGGGGGTGAGGGGACGTTAATATAACCAAATCATGTAGGGTGGGGGTGAGGGGACGTTAATATAACCAAATCATGTAGGGTGGGGGTGAGGGGACGTTAATATAACCAAATCATGTAGGGTGGGGGTGAGGGGACGTTAATATAACCAAATCACGCAAGGTAGGGTTGGGGGTGAGGGGACGTTAATATAACCAAATCATGTAGGGTGGGGGTGAGGGGACGTTAATATAACCAAATCATGTAGGGTGGGGGTGAGGGGACGTTAATATAACCAAATCATGTAGGGTGGGGTGAGGGGACGTTAATATAACCAAATCATGTAGGGTGGGGGTGAGGGGACGTTAATATATCAGATTAAATTTTTACCGAGAATACAAAACTTTTCAGATGAATGCAACTGCATGTTTTGTACAAAAAACTTTCTAGAAGAATGCAAGTGTATTTTTTGTACATAAAACGTAAAGAAGTAGGCTATGCATCTGTCGTAGAAGCCAGAAAAATGAGTTTGTTGTACATACAGCTTACCTAACAGAATGCAACTATTGTAAATAGAACTCCACAATAAGCTGAGTAAAATTCAGGGATGTAGTTATTTAAATCAGCGAGGAATGTACACAAGATATCAACAGAGCAACGACTTGTTTATCTTTGCATTGTAGACACGGACATGTGCTAGACTGGTACTCCCGTGTTCCACCTGATAGAGGTGGGTGGCTGTTGTTGTTTTAGAGGTGGGTGGCTGCCGTTGTTTTAGAGGTGGGTGGCTGCCGTTGTTTTAGAGGTGGGTGACTGCCGTTGTTTTAGAGGTGGGTGGCTGCCGTTGTTTTAGAGGTGGGTGGCTGCCGTTGTTGTAGAGGTGGGTGGCTGTTGTTGTTTTAGAGGTGGGTGGCTGTTGTTGTTTTAGAGGTGGGTGGCTGCTGTTTTAGAGGTGGGTGGCTGATGTTGTTTTAGAGGTGTGTGGCTGCCGTTCTTTTAGACGTGGGTGGCTGCTGTTGTTTTAGAGGTGGGTGGCTGCCGTTGTTTTAGAGGTGAGTGGCTGCCGTTGTTTTAGAGGTGGGTGGCTGCCGTTGTTGTTTTAGAGGTGGGTGGCTGCCGTTGTTTTAGAGGTGGGTGGCTGCCGTTGTTTTAGAGGTGGGTGGCTATTGTTGTTTTAGAGGTGGGTGGCTGCCGTTATTTTAGAGGTGGGTGGCTGCCGTTATTTTAGAGGTGGGTGGCTGCCGTTGTTGTTTTAGAGGTGGGTGGCTGCCGTTGTTGTTTTAGAGGTGGGTGGTTTAATTCTTACCTATATTTTCTAATACTCGATACAGATCAAAAGTTGAATGAAATTTGTTGATATTGAAATGAAAAATAGAAAACAAGGTAATTAAAAAGTCTTGTGACAATTTAAGCGCAATTTCCTTATGTTATCTAAAAATAGCTCTGTCGTAGCGTAAATCAAGAGCAGGGTTAGTAAAACCATTGGTTAGTTATTAAAACGTTTTTTATTTTAAAAAAAATTCAGTATTTTACATGTTTTATTTACAATAGAGTTACATGACTAAAAACCATTGCGCGCCTAGCTACTGAACGTGATGACGCAGCCATTGAACGTGATGGCGCAGCTATTGAACGTGATGACGCGTGTGGTGTGGTTGAAAAAAATGCCTACTAATTCGGTCCAAATTTTAATTAATTCAAAATTTTTTTTTTGACCGAACGAAAGGATATTTTTGAAAACTTTCTTAGGCAATATTGTTTTAAATTATGGCAGGAATCGATTGGTACATGTTTCAAGTCGCTAAGTGGTCTGGTTGCCGAGATATGGGCCAAAAACTGCATTTTTTCGAGGTTTTTTGGCTTTTACGGGAAATACATGAAAGAAACCCGGAATTTTTATGGCTTATGCTCATTCTCGTAACTTGCTTAACATAATTGCTTTTGAAACTAGTCATCGATATTGCTTCGTTGAGGAGGAGATACGACTTAAAGCCCGGACACACATTCATCCATTCATTCATTCATCCATCCATCCATTCCCAGAAATGACGAGTTAATAAACGCAATTCTCCAGAATGGAAATTGCGCTAAAAATTGAGTTAGAACAGGCATACTTATATATATATATATATATATATATATATATATATATATATATATATATATATATATAAGTATGCCTGTTCTAACTCAATGCAACTAATCCTGATTCTACCCAGCAGAACTCTACAACTTCGCACGTGACTCTTTGGTTGCTGTTTGAAAAAAGTTTGACCTTTGACCCATGTCATGCTTGTCGTCTGCTGCTACCGGACCCACGTGCTCCAGTCGTCTGACTAATTACAATGAACGTTGGGACCCACAGATCTGCCAGTCAGAGGCGCAAATAAAACAATGAACTTGTGCAGACATTGGCTCCAGTCCTGCCTCGCTGTGCTGGCATTCATCAGCTGCCACTCGTTGGCTGACCGGTCATCGGATATTCCTTGCCTCGGGTGTCGTCTGTTCAACCTACAACACAGGAACCAACCTGACGACAAAAAGGTAAGCTGACCTACAACACAGGAACCAACCTGACGACAAAAAGGTAAGCTGGCCTACAACACAGGAACCAACCTGACGACAAAAAGGTAAGCTGACCTACAACTCAGGAACCAACCTGACGACAAAAAGGTAAGCTGACCTACAACACAGGAACCAACCTGACGACAAAAAGGTAAGCTGACCTACAACACAGGAACCAACCTGACGACAAAAAGGTAAGCTGACCTACAACACAGGAACCAACCTGACGACAAAAAGGTAAGCTGACCTACAACACAGGAACCAACCTGACGACAAAAAGGTAAGCTGACCTACAACACAGGAACCAACCTGACGACAAAAAGGTAAGCTGACCTACAACACAGGAACCAACCTGACGACAAAAAGGTAAGCTGACCTACAACACAGGAACCAACCTGACGACAAAACGGTAAGCTGACCTACAACACAGGAACCAACCTGACGACAAAAAGGTAAGCTGACCTACAACTCAGGAACTCAATGTTTTAGTGTGCAACTTATTTGCAGTAAATTAACCCCCCCCCCCCCCGTCAGGCTGACGACATTAACACTTGTTTACCAGCATTATTTGTTCTATAAATCATTGTGGAATCATTTTTTAACATGCCATAGTAATTGTGGTGTCAAAGAGTTGAATGAGATAATGGAAACAACACAAGCAGCTCTACAGCGTTAGAATCATTTATTACAGGGTGTCTGGTCATTTTTGTCTAATGATATCTACTGTGAAGGGTCTCAATTTATTGTAACGGGTCAAGCAACCTCTTTGTAAAATACACTCACTAGAAAAATACTGCATTTATCATCTAAATATAGATCAGTGCGCTATTAACATTCAACACACCTAAATATAGAACATTAATCATCTAAATATAGACCATTAATCATTAGTCTGAAGCATGGCCTCGATTACCCCCTCAGCCCCATTCCACAGCTAGGAAACGTATGTCAGGTGGGGAGGGAGCTGTCATTGTTTGTCGAGCGCTCAATACCAACTTGCTCGTTTGTCAGACGACATATTCAGATCTAGTCAACCCGCGACAGCATATCAACTTTTGATAGAACAGTTAGACAACCCGCGACAGCATATCAACTTTTGATAGAACAGTTAGACAACCCGCGACAGCATATCAACTTTTGATAGAAGAGTTAGACAACCCGTGACAGCATATCAACTTTTGATAGAAGAGTTAGACAACCCGTGACAGCATATCAACTTTTGATAGAACAGTTAGACAACCCGCGACAGCATATCAACTTTTGCCAGAACAGTTAGACAACCCACGACAGCATATCAACTTTTGATAGAAGAGTTAGACAACCCGTGACAGCATATCAACTTTTGATAGAACAGTTAGACAACCCGTGACAGCATATCAACTTTTGCCAGAACAGTTAGACAACCCGCGACAGCATATCAACTTTTGATAGAACAGTTAGACAACCCACGACAGCATATCAACTTTTGATAGAACAGTTAGACAACCCGCGACAGCATATCAACTTTTGCCAGAACAGTTAGACAACCCACGACAGCATATCAACTTTTGATAAACCGTGACAGAATATATTTTTTTTTGTCATTAAAACATTACTACAGCCAGAGTTTCTCCCAGGCATCTCTTCTACGCCTCCTCGAAGAAGGTCTACCCCCCCCCCCCCCTGGACGAAATGGAAATTATATAGAAAACATACTTCTACCAATGTCCGCCCCCTCCCCAGGGAAATGTTGTCGTCCCCCCCCCCCGAAAATATCAAGTGCCCCCCCCCCCCCCCCCCCCCATCCCCCGGTAGAAAAAAGTCTGGAAGAAACACTGACAGCACTGAGCATGAACACATCACAGATACTCAATGCTGGTATACTAGTACTAACTAGGTGTGTGGAGGTGACTTCGATTATTTAAGTACACAGCTCTGCTAGCTGTAGAGTAGTATCTTGATGATCAATGTAGAGATCATTCGCTCAACTTTTGCTTTGATATGTCAGTGACATAGAGCACATTACTCAAGTGATATTGATCTTTGCAACCTGACAACAATTAACAATATCCCCACACTTTGTGACATCTCAATGACATCATCCCCACACATGTTGACATCTCAATGACATCACCCGCACACTTTGTGACATCTCAATATCACCATCCCCACACATGTTGACATCTCAATGACATAATTCCCACACTTTGTGACATCTCAATGACATCACCCGCACACTTTGTGACATCTCAATGACATCATCCAGCCACATTGTGACATCTCAATGACATCATCCCCACAAGTTGTCACATCTCAATGACGTCATCCCCACACATTGTGACGTCTCAATGACGTAAACCAGCCACATGGTGACATATCAATGACATCATCCCCACACGTTATGACATCTCAATGACATAAAATGGTTCTTAGAGTTGCCATTATGTGAACGTGCTCTTGCTGAAGGTCTAGCTCAAGCTGGATGTGATGATCTGGTTCAATCAATGGATTGCGTCACTCATCTCATTTATATAGATCTCATGTAGTTTTAGACCGACACACGAGGAAATGGCAATTGCTAACAAAGACTTTGACACATAGTGACTCTAATTTACCCAACTCAAGCAAATACTATCGTTTCTCTTAACCACTGGCTATCTTATTTATCCAAAGGATATTTAAAGTTGTTGCTTTTTTACAAAAAGGCAATGTTATACACAGCCAACCAGTCTAAGGTTGGCCACATGCAACCAGTCTAAGGTTGGCCACATACAACCAGTCTAAGGTTGGCCACATACAACCAGTCTAAGGTTGGCCACAGCCAACCAGTCTAAGGTTGGCCACATACAACCAGTCTAAGGTTGGCCAGATGCAACCAGTCTAAGGTTGGCCACATGCAACCAGTCTCAGGTTGGCCACATACAACCAGTCTAAGGTTGGCCACATACAACCAGTCTAAGGTTGGCCACATACAACCAGTCTAAGGTTGGCCACAGCCAACCAGTCTAAGGTTGGCCACATACAACCAGTCTAAGGTTGGCCAGATGCAACCAGTCTAAGGTTGGCCACATACAACCAGTCTAAGGTTGGCCACATACAACCAGTCTAAGGTTGGCCACATACAACCAGTCTAAGGTTGGCCACATACAACCAGTCTAAGGTTGGCCACATGCAACCAGTCTAAGGTTGGCCACATGCAACCAGTCTAAGGTTGGCCACATGCAACCATCCTAAGGTTGGCCACATGCAACCAGTCTAAGGTTGGCCACATACAACCAGTCTCAGGTTGGCCACATGCAACCAGTCTAAGGTTGGCCATATGCAACCAGTCTAAGGTTGGCCACATGCAACCAGTCTAAGGTTGGCCACATGCAACCAGTCTCAGGTTGGCCACATACAACCAGTCTAAGGTTGGCCACATGCAACCAGTCTAAGGTTGGCCACATACAACCAGTCCAAGGTTGGCCACATGCAACCAGTCTAAGGTTGGCCACATGCAACCAGTCTAAGGTTGGCCACATACAACCAGTCTAAGGTTGGCCACATGCAACCAGTCTAAGGTTGGCCACATACAACCAGTCTTAGGTTGGCCACAGACAACCAGTCTAAGGTTGGCCACATGCAACCAGTCTAAGGTTGGCCACATGCAACCAGTCTAAGGTTGGCCACATACAACCAGTCTAAGGTTGGCCACATACAACCAGTCTAAGGTTGGCCACATGCAACCAGTCTAAGGTTGGCCACATGCAACCAGTCTAAGGTTGGCCACATACAACCAGTCTAAGGTTGGCCACATGCAACCAGTCTAAGGTTGGCCACATGCAACCAGTCTAAGGTTGGCCACATGCAACCAGTCTAAGGTTGGCCACAGACAACCAGTCTAAGGTTGGCCACATGCAACCAGTGATAGGTTGGCCACATGCAACCAGTCTAAGGTTGGCCACATACAACCAGTCCAAGGTTGGCCACATGCAACCAGTCTAAGGTTGGCCACATGCAACCAGTCTAAGGTTGGCCACAGCTAACCAGTCTAAGGTTGGCCAAAGCTAACCAGTCAAAGGTTCGCCACATTCTACCAGTCTAAGGTTGGCCACATACTACCAGTCTAAGGTTGGCCACATACTACCAGTCTAAGGTTGGCCACATGCAACCAGTCTAAGGTTGGCCACATGCAACCAGTCTAAGGTTGGCCACATACAACCAGTCTTAGGTTGGCCACAGACAACCAGTCTAAGGTTGGCCACATGCAACCAGTCTAAGGTTGGCCACATACAACCAGTCTTAGGTTGGCCACAGACAACCAGTCTAAGGTTGGCCACATGCAACCAGTCTAAGGTTGGCCACATACAACCAGTCTAAGGTTGGCCACATACAACCAGTCTAAGGTTGGCCACATACAACCAGTCTAAGGTTGGAGCCAACCCTGTGGTCGACGTGACGGGCGCCATTGAATTCTCTGGCGAGTGACGTCACCACGGTCACAAATAAGCAACTGGCGATAGGTCTATGCCGCACGGCCTGTCATGCCGGGTGTCTATGCCGCACGGCCTGTCGTGCCGGAGGTCTATGCCGCACGGCCTGACATGCCGGAGGTCTATGCCGCACGGCCTGTCGTGCCGGAGGTCTATGCCGCACGGCCTGACATGCCGGGTGTCTATGCCGCACGGCCTGACATGCCGGGTGTCTATGCCGCACGGCCTGTCGTGCCGGAGGTCTATGCCGCACGGCCTGACATGCCGGGTGTCTATGCCGCACGGCCTGACATGCCGGGTGTCTATGCCGCACGGCCTGACGTGCCGGGTGTCTATGCCGCACGGCCTGACGTGCCGGAGGTCTATGCCGCACGGCCTGACGTGCCGGAGGTCTATGCCGCACGGTCTGACGTGCCGGAGGTCTATGCCGCACGGCCTGACGTGCCGGAGGTCTATGCCGCACGGCCTGACGTGCCGGAGGTCTATGCCGCACGGCCTGACGTGCCGGAGGTCTATGCCGCACGGCCT